AAAACGGGGGTCACAGAATCCGTTTTGCTAAACGCTATGAAATTATGGTATTCATCGAGGGAAAAACCCGCGCTATAGAGTAACCTGAGGGATCAAAGAAACACTTTGGAAAAATATAAAAGAAAAGAAAAAGAAAAAAAAAGAACAAATGCAGCCAAACAAATTCATAACCACCAAATATGACTTTGTTTAGCATTTCTGAATTAAGAGCATGTGAGTAAGAGTTAGTGATAAGGATTTATGAAACTTTCTATCCGTGCGATGAAGTCAAAATGCGTGCAATTTGAATTCGTTAACAGGTTTATTTCCCCCTAGATTTAGTATCAATCATTCCCTCACAATCAGAATCTTTTTTAATTTACATATTTTTTARATTTTTGGTAGTATTTTGAATTTAAGACAAAGAAAAATGGGGGTCATCGAAAGGGTTTCTGAGACATTTTCTGTTAAAGAAGTGAAAAATGTTTTTTCCTGATATTTTGCCCATCAAAACATTCGCATGACGTCACCATGGTGAGCGCGTGCGCACTGAACTCATGCATAAAATGGCTGCTCGCGAACAATGCCAGCGAACGCCTAAAGGCCATTGATAGTGATTGATCGAGCCGGGTACTTGAAACATTTAAAATATAATTAACCATAATCCTTGCKGGTCTCAACTTTGTAGCTTTATTGTCAGCTATAACAACGTATAACAAATGCTATTTTCAGCTTACTTAAAACTTGGCTTTATTTATTTTTATGCTATACGCGGGTGACAGATGTAACCTGCGATGATGTTAAYATTCTTAATTTTGTGGTATTGCGCTCGCCAAAAACTTTATATGAAGGATATCAAGACCTTTTATAGAAGATCATTATTATTAAAGACAATATTTGGACTAATTAGTCGCTTAACACGCTAAAGTCTGCTAAATTCACTGTTAATGAGTTTTCCAGTGAATGGTGATTTTGCCTTCTATCGCTATCATCACTTATTAACCAAAAAGGTACGATATCAGTGATTTCCAAGGTGATGGCCTGTCCTTTAGCGGCAAAACTCATGGATGATATTTTAGCATCTGGAGTAAAAACTGCGTGAATGGCAACTTTGTCGTCCTTGATTCGCCATATTCGTAATGAGCGGTCTTTGGAGTCCAGTCCACCAACTGTCGTCATGACAACGTCAGTGTAGTCGTTGGTGAATATACGATGTATTGCACCGCTATGCGCACGCATACTGTGAATACACTGACCACTGACAGAATCGTATAGTCGTAGATTCCCATCAATTGTGCCCAACAATATTTGTTTGCCACTTGTCACAAAAGAAGCGCAATGCACATTGTCTTCAGGCTCGTGGAGGAGTCTTCCGGATGTGACGTCATATACTACTGCATGGTAATGTCCAGAAATAGTATCGAAAACAATATCCAGGACATAGCTTCCGTTATTTGAAATTGTTAAATCTGAGGAAATAAGAAGTGAATATTAAGAACGAAGTTAAACAGATTGTACTTGATAAATAAGATGTACTTGAGGAAAATAACACATAATATATAGAATATATTTTTAGCAAAGTTTAACTGGTCGAGAACAGTGCTTTATTAGTAAACGAACCGCGCTTGCTGACGCTAAAAGCGCAGAAAGCAGAGCAAAGATGCACACGAAAATCAAGAATCCAGGCCCAGTTTATTTTCAATACTATTAGTGTATTTTTAAAAAGGCCTCTCTTTTACTTCAACGGGTGAGTACATAAATACAAAGTATTGGCGTACGCTCAAGTTTAAACTGAAATCCAAAAGTAATAGACCCTTTTCGAGTTCCAAATTACCGCTGTGTTTYTTGATTACAGACTCATTTACTCAGGCTTAGCCTCGATTTTGCGTAGAATATTCACGTGTCTCAGTCAAGGTCCTTGGTATTTCAAAATGTTTGTATTGTTGGAGTTGTGCATTCTTTACTTTACCGGTTTTTTTTTAACGTATTTGTGAATATTTAGACACTTATGGGAGCCTAAGCCTTAGTAAATGAGTCTGTAATCAAGGAACACAGCGGTAAATTGGAACTCGAAAAGGGTCTATTCCCCTATCACCCGAACACTCATCTCTCCTACTTGATCCCTTACTTGTATGGTACAGTGATGAAGAGATTTCAATTTTACTTTAAAGGCAAAACACAAATAATTGCCATCTAAATACCGATATCACCGATAATAACCTGTACACCGCTTTGCCACACACGATTCGTGTGCTAATTAATTCATATTGATTTCGAACGTCAGAAAAGCTAGCGATACGTCAATAGAATGGAATTCTCCAGCTGGTTGCTCAGATGTTGCTTGGAGCAATTAAAGAATACCCCGCAAATGATATGCAGTTTTCAGAACTCTTTGAAGAACGACGCATTTTTCTTGGAAATGATACTATTATTTCAAAAAAGGTCGGTGAATATATTGTTGCATGTTTGCTTAATTGAATAAAATATGAAATTTATTATAGTTACATGGATATGATTAAACCAACATTTTTTGATACAGCTGTATACGAAGCGCATTCTATAAACTATAATACGAATAAGAGAGAAAGAAAAATCGGCATTAAATTTAATTTACCTGCGAATTCTGGTAAAGCTTGCTGTATGCCCTTAAGATACGTCACTTGTGTTCTTGTCTCCACATCCCACACACTGTAACCATAAGCCAGTTCGCCCTTGCTTGTTTCTCTGAACGCGATTACACAGAATCGTCCGTCCGAAGTTGAAGCAAATCTATTGAACAAACACCTTAGTAAAAACAAGATCCACAGTAATGTGACATGGGAATCTCATTAAAGAGGAAAATCTCTCGTAATAGRTATATATTATCACTATCTCCCTATTCCGCTTACTCGCATGCAATCTCCGCGCGCATCTACAGGAATCCCAAAACACTCGTTTTTACTGAGTCTGGAAGTAAAAGTGGGACCGCTCGCAGTCCACCAATCACAGGGCCAGTGGAGCATTGATGGGTGAATGTTAGTCAAGAATCGCTTTTCTTATTATGAAAACTGTGCATCCCCCCCATTTTTCTGATAAAAATTTGCCCATCCCCCCTTTTTCCTACCAAATTTTCCCCGATCCCCCTCAATTTCACCTGCGCATGCCCCCCCCCCTGCCATACATTATGAACGCAGCCTTACAACTGAACAAACCTTGTAATCRGGTTTCCTTCGCCTCTTTTGAGTTGCGCAATCTCTTTTCCCGAACTGACGTCATAAATGTTGAGAGACTTGCTATYCAATGAAACTGCTATCACTTCTGACTGATTCAATATGAAAAAGCTACGGCTGCAGTCACTTCTCGTCTTGCCCTGGAACTTCACATTCATTTTTCTTTCCGTTAAGTCAAAGAGAAAGATTTCTTCTCCATTAGTGATGACAGCTTTGGTTTCGTTGAGGAAGTCCAGTTGGGGTGCATGCCCATTGGTAAAAAGTACTTTATGCCCACTTCTGACATCGATAAARCCTACCTTACTTTGTTGAACGAAAACTACTTTGTTTCCTTTGCTTTCCACAATTTCTAGCTCTCCGTCTTGTGTGTCATGTGAGTCTTGGTTGCGAGAGAGGTCCCACACCCGAACAAGCTTGTCTATCGATGAACTGATAAAAGAATTGAAATTCACATATCTTATTAAATGAATGCTGCTTGGGAACCTCAAGCTACATTCCTTGATGTCTTCAGAATTCAAACTGAAGATTTTTACGCGGCCTTGAAATACGTTTGCTGAACTCAGAAACTGGACGTCATTCAGTGTTACAACGTTGCTCTTGTCACATGACATCCCATAGCAACGCATGTTTTCATCCGAGTCGTTAAGGCAACGTAACCTCTTGTTCAATGAGTAATCCCAAAGCTGAAGTACACCGCTTTTCTGATTCGGTTTGTTACTTCGGCTATCTATAGGTACACCTTGTAAAATGAGCAAGGTCCCRTATGCAGAAACACCCACCAGACTAACATCTTCATGGAATGTAAGAACACATTTCATGTCACCTGTAGGTACATCCAAAACACGAACAGACGAACCAGCACCTTCTGAGCCATTTCCTACCATGTAATATAATGAGGTCTGCAAGCTAAACAATGATACATTGTCTTGAGATAAGGATCTGTCTAGTTTGACATCAATAAATTCTTTAATCTGTTTTCTTGTTTTCAGGTTGTAAAGCTTGATAGAAGTACCGATAATGGTAGCCAGGGCGCTTTCACCATTGAAATCGATAAAACACACAGGCATTAGAGTATCACCTCCTTCRATAAGGAAAAGCCGCTGTCCAGTGGATATACGCCATGCAGACACGCATCCTGGGCTTGAAGCTACAACAACAGATTTGTCTGCACTGAACACTAGTGATAGGATCTTGTCACCTAAAAGGAAATCATAATCTCAGTTTTATTGAATCAGAAGACCAACCACAGGGAGCCCAATTTAGATAAAATKCAAAAACTCATTAATAATTCATAAGCTTATGGTCCAATTGGAGCCACAATACACGTCACGTGCTTGGACCTTTATACCCGATAAAGTCCTCTTCATTAGTATTCTTTATATAAAGAATACTAATAAGGACGATTTGGTCCAATTGGAGCCACCATACATGTCACGTGCTTGGACATTTATACCCGATAAAGTCCTTCTCATTAGTATTCTTTATATAAAGAATACTAATAAGGACGATTTGGTCCTATTGGAGCCACCACACACGTCACGTGCACGTGCATGGACCTTTATATCCGATAAAAGAACTCTACACTAGTATTCTTTATATAAAAAATACTAATAAGGAAGACTATATCATTCAATTTATTATTCAATGAAGACTTAGAGCCTCATCAAGGCCTGTCTCACATACGATCACCGACGACCCACGAAATCTAATTGACTAGCAATCCTGTCTTGAGACTAGCATGCTGTCTTTAAAATGTGGGAGCCTTTATTGGGAATGACTGCACATGATAGTGACSTATAAAMCTCAATTGCGCATGACAGGTACATACGAACTGCTATSGATGTATAAAAGTCCATGTTCGTGACGTGTATGGTGGCTCGAGTTGAACCAAAATCTTATATATTGTTCATGAGTGTTTTAAGCAGTTTAAAAAACTCGTAGATTGTGTCTTATCAGGTCTAAAACCATTTGGCTACGCCTCGTGCTTTTATACCTGATAAAACACTCCTACTCGCTTTTTAAACACTTCGTAAAAGTTGAAAATAAAATCGGAAAACTTGAATAATTAATTATGTTTTTAATTCGGAAAAAGTCACTAGGACAATTGTTGGGGGGAGGGGGGACCCTATGTTTCCCTATGTAATTTTCCATGGATCTAATATCGTTKATATGCATAAGTACTTTTACAAGGGAGAAAAGTCCAGTCGCCATCTTCAAAAACACAACCTACTTTCAAACACGATTTCATCGTCTCTTAAACCTCAAACTCTACAAAAAACTTGATCACAATAATCCCTACGATGGGAGATTCATTTTTTAATCCTGTTTTGGCTCTTCYTCGAAGATTTCTATGGCCGAAATTTTCGYGCAGAAACGTTTTCGCTTGCAGAAAATTGTCTGCCATGTTATGTCATCGTTGTTACTTGCGCAGGACTCGGACGAGAGAGAATTTCGACCTTACTAACGTTTCCCGCTCAGGAATTTTGTAACGTGTACACGACCCACCAACAGCCAACCCACAGGACTAGTTTTGTTCTTGAAAATCCTTCCACAATTAAAGTTCTGCAAGGTCGACATTTTTACGCTTTTTGGTTGGTTTTACTTAACTACCGACAATTCAACACAATATCAGGTTGAGTTAAAATTGCAATGAATGTCTTTCATTTAAGGTAATTCCCTTGTTTTGCATTGCGCATTTTTCTGCGCACGCAACTAAAAGCATAGAACTAACAAAGTTTAGGCATTTTTCTTTCGTAAACTAAATGAAAAACATGTTCAAAACCAATTTTTACTTTTTCCTCTTTTTTGAGTAGAGAAATTACGATTTTTATCTGACTCGCCACATTCACCGCTCGGAAAAGTGTCAGTTTTCGACTATTTTGARACTGTTTTTCAATATAAATCAAAAACAAGAATGGTGGCCCCCATTTTCTATTTCCGATTTTTGATAAATGCGATACTCGTCATTATATATCAAAATATGAAGGAAAGTTTATTGAATAAATTTTGAAATATTTTGATGGGAATAGTTGACATGTGCAATTTTTTGACGTTCGTAGAGGCACACATACCTGCATTTTTCACTAATAGTTCAAGAATAATAGCCATCCAATGACTTTGATGGATTCAATAGTTTAGATTATCTAGTAAACGTTGAGTTATAAGTACGTTTTGTTATATGAATTTACTTTTAATTGTGAATAAAGGTTCTTGAATACAGCTTCCGSTTGCTACCGCATTTCACTAGCATGTAGCGAAAAAACGAGAATGGTGACGTTGAAATGTTTGAGTTCGCAGAATATCGAAAACCGCAATAACGCGCTAAAATATCAAGACCGACAGCGTCCGCCTAAGGTAACACTGACTCACCTGCATTCTCTAAAGCTCGCACCAGTCTTCCAGAAGAAACTTCCCAAATGCTACAAGAATTGTCGCTAGAAGCACTCACCACCAATTTTCCATCATCGCTGACACTGAGGGCAGTACTAGGCTGGCTTTGTCCTGACAAAGAATGAACCATTGGACCCCCTGGTGACGTTAGACAAACAGCCGATGGGATTAAGTTGGAATGAGGTGACGTCCTTGCTTGCTGAAGAAGATCCTGAAGAAAGGGGGAATTGTTGCTTTTCATTCGTCCTTTGAGCATAAAAATACCTTGTTAACATAGATCCAAAAATCATTACAGGATAACAGCTTCAGTGCGCAAGAATATGAGAATGGTGTTAGAAAATGGAACGAGAAGAGTGTAAGAAATGAAAAGAGGAAAGGGTTTTGAAATAAAAATCGTCATTAGGATAAARATTAAAATGGGGACTAGCGTTGAATGGTAATCAGTCTGCTTAATCATAGGTCTCCGCAGAAGATTTTGAAGAGGTGCGGTCACACTCCGTTAGTAAATTGCATATACGAGTTGCATATTAAATATTGATTGACATCGATCACTCTTGTACGTATAACTTGTACGTATAAATGCCTGGGGCATGAGTTTGTGGAAGAGGCCGCGGAAACAGGGTAGCTAGCATATCTAGAATAAATTATTAATTTAAATRTAAGGAGTATTAGCGATCGAGACAGAATACCGTAGGAGAGACAACAGTAGAGCCTTTACATTGTAACTTATCCAAAGGATAGAAATAGAAACGTTTACGGAAGAAATTCTGAATTRAATAACTCATGGTTACATCATGTCCATCGATCTGCCACCCATGTCTGCCGTCACGCAATCACATACTTAGCTTAATCATAACTATTTTTCTGATTGACGAAAACCCGAAACCTCTTGAGATGTTTTTTAGAATATTATAAAAAATGTTGTGTAATAGATATATTCTAAGATATCATAAAATCCATTTACCTAGTAACTGGCAGGATAATTGATGAGGGTATTCAGCAAGTGCAAAAGTAGAAAGCTGCAACGTTTCTTTGACCAATCGTATATCGTCGTCCTCGGGCCAAGACTGTAACGCAAAGTCATAATCATCCAATACGTCACGCAGGGTTGAAGACAACAGGTTTACCAGTAGAAACTCAAAATGACAGAGTACTTCTCTTTTCAAAGTCTCGAGTATTCGAGCGCAAGTTAAATGATAAGGGAGCTCATTAAGCTTACGGTAATTGAACGYCATTTTACTTGAACTTGATTGAAAGGTCAGCGGTTGTCGTGCAACAATTCGGTCTGCGGCTTTTTCTGTACCTTCTCGAGTATTGTATGGCTTTGGTATCCCGTTTGACCATTGTCCCAAGAAATACTCGCTGAGGGCCCTGTGAATCTTGAGGGTTTCTACTTCGTCACTTAGATACCTGCAATGTAAACATGGATCTGTTGAATCTAAAGAATCAATCTGATAAACTTTTTATATGAGTSCAGAGGAAGTGTGTTATAAGCTAATCCGTTAACCCAGGGAGGTTGGAGGGAGATGGAGATGAAACTGAATATATTAACATGTATAAGGCATTCTAATTGGTTGAGAGCTCTGACTGCAGTTTAGGGGGACAAAAGTTAAGGACATGACATGGCGGAGATCTCCAAGAACCTCCATCATCACACGGCGCGATGTTTATTTCCTGCAAGGCAATAAAAACCATCCTGAAGCGCTTGAATACAAGGCCACCACGCGGGATAAACCTGCTGTTCAAGATGGCTACCGCGTAACAAATGTCCATGAACATTCATCTCCAAATTCAGTTATACACACATATATGTGAGTTAGTTGGTAGGACTTTCATCGRTTCGTTTTACTTATTTGTCTCGATAATTTCGAGGTACTTAAGATCCAAGAGAATTTCTATTACCTTGCCCGAGCAGCTTCAATAAACTGTCTATGATACCACGTGGTAACCCTTGCCCCATCAGCACCTCTATCTACAAGGTAACCAGCAAGATCAGCTCTCACCCGTACCCATAACAGAGGAGGAATTCGACGAATTGGAGGCGTCCAGAACTGATAGACGTCATCTAAAACGTCATCATCGCAGGACAGCACGTCTTCTAGCTCTGTTTCAGTGAGACCACTTTTTGCAGCAGTGACATAGCCAAGGGCGTGTCTTACCAGCACCTGGCCATGTTGCTTTTCAATACGAGAAAACAACGCGTTAATGGCACCTAAAACATGACAAACAGGAACAAATGGCAAAATTAGTAAAAAAGTATATTTGGCAAGGATTCTTTTGCTAACTTTACATAAATATTAATGAACTATGAGAACAAATCAATAACCCGTTAATTGACTCTATGGATCGGACCCTTTGCACTGAGCCCCTAGAGGAATTGTTCTGGGGACAAACAATGGATATTTTTGCATGAGAAAAGACGGCACTTGTTTTTTYCCCCTAAACAATTCCTCCAGGAATTCAATGCAAGGGGTCTAAAGGCTAATGGTCTTTTTTAATATCACGGAATGAATATTTTACTGACTTAGAACTATTTACTTATGACTAGCTATGTTTTACACATACATTTATTTAAACAAGAATATTTTTACAGTTTTGTTTTTTTTGTAATCTTCCACATACCTCTGACTGTATGCTCAAGTCTTGTTTTATCAGGTGGAGAGTACGATTTCCATCTAATGGCCTCGTCAAATGTAACGCGAACAAATATTGGCAATGAACAGCTTTGAAGAGCTTGTTTGATAATGTCTTGTTGGTCTTTAGAAAGTGTGCGGTTTGCCATGCTCAGCCAGTTGACTAAAATTTTTGCTGCATCGTCTTGAGGTAGTTTTGGTACTTCAACAAAGCACTTCTTTGGAAGAAATGCCTGAAATTGGAGGAAGCAAACATTACAAACCGTATGACATAACAGGAATAATCCTCCGTTACGACTTGAATAAGTAGAAACAGATGAGACATGATCAGCCTCTTCTGTCCATGTCTTTTGATACATTTACATTTTTATCACTCTTGATCTACACAGATGCAYTTCGCTTCTTTTATAGAAAATAGAATAGGGCTATTTGCACAAGATCTATTAAAAGACTGATCTTACCTCAAGGACAGGGAGACATTCATACTCTTCACCAGGAATGGTGGATACTACCAATTTCACGTAATCCGGTAAAATCATCGGTAGCCATGACAACTGACGGGCACTATMTTCTGGTCCAAATTGATCAAGTGAGTCAAGCACAATTAACAGTGGTTCTTTCACTGTTGCCATTTGAAGACATTTTACAAAGTCTTTTTGCAGGTTTTTGATATCCTAATATGAAGTTTAGAAAATAAGAATGATTTGCATCTAATTCAAGAAACATCGTACGTGAAAAACAATGAACGATAATATCAGATTCRATCATCTCGATCAATAGAGTAAATGACTTACATTTCTTACAAAGGATGAATCTTCGTCGTATACAACACATATCTGGCGACAAACGCTCCGCAAAAGAAGACGAACCTGTGAAGAGTCAGGAGTTGTTCCAATGTACCGGATAATAACTTTGAGATTTTCACCCAACCATTCACGTGCCTTCATTGCTACCATGGAAACCACTGACGTCTTTCCACATCCTGATTCTCCGAAAATAACAAGGGGGCGGYTACTTTTGTGCTCGTTAATTGATGATGACATTTCCTTTGTGAGGTTTTTGTGAATTTGTACACTTTGGTCTTTATGGCTTGAATTTTTAACATYATCTGTGTCTTTCACGTGTCCATTAGCGTGGTTATTATTCAGATAACTATCTTGAGGGTTGGGTAATTCTATCAAGTAGTTGCTGCATTGGATTAACACATCTTCACGACCAAAAAACGTTTCACACTTGGACTTGCAAAACAAAAGGTGCTGACTCGCTTCATCGTAGACGGAATCATTCAGTTCATGGGACATTCTGGCGAGTATTGCCGATTCTATCAGCTCTTCTAATACTACACGGACATCATAGCGCATGCGCTCGATGTATACCTATTACAAAAGATAAGGGAAAATATGAACATGGATTAAAACTAAGATGGCTGCCGGCTTGTGTATTTGATAAATTAAAGAAATAGAGGGCATAGCATGGACGACAAATGATTTTAACTTCAGCATTACAGCCRCGGTTATGAATTATATACCTTGTGATTTTCGCAACGTTCCGGATCAAGACCTTGGCTACGCCATTCAACCTGATAATGTCTGATGTTGTTATCTGACAAATTTTGCAACACGATATCATTCTTAAGACCATCTAAGAGCTTTTGGGCTTCTTCATTAAGGACACCCTCCTCTTGTACGTCAATATAGTACTTCGCATGCTCATCGTTCACATGATCTTGGAGGTTTTCGATTTTTCGATTAAACCAACAGCATTGAGAAGAAGGATTGGACGATGATAGGACACCAGAACGTATTTCACTCTCCGTGACTAAAATAACATATAAACATTAATTAGAAAAACTACATAACGAACGAACGAACGAACGAACGAACGAACGAAC